ACTGCTTCAAAACCTAGTAAACAATATAATGTTGCATATGGACAGAAATATATCTGTGTCACTACTCGGTAAACACAACCTGCTGAATAAGGAGAAAAAGAATTTACCAGCTTTATCAAGGATAGTTTTCAGCTTGGAAACATCTCTAATTGCTATACAAGTATGACGATCTCGACCACCATGTGCTGGTCGTCCAGTTAAGGGGTCTGGATTTGGAAGTTCCATCAAATGAATCATCTCAGAGCCAACCCACAGCCAAGCCCCTCTATAAGGCAGCTTATCATGCGGCCTTGCCTCATTTATTTCAAGCCCTAATTTTAAATGTAAAGAAGCTGCTTAATTTCTTCTCTTAGGATACAGCCACAAAATTGTGAATGAACAAACATTAGCATACCTAAAATGTTCTGATAAAAATCCAGTGACCTTTCAAGATTTTCGCAGAGAATTCCAACATGGTGAACACTAACAACTCCATAATCTACATGAATGACAACAAAGACATATTAAGTACAACTCTCCTCAAAAGTTAAGGAGAACCAAGAAAACATCCATAATTTCCAAAATACTACTCTCTCTCTATTTCTTTCCTGTGAATTCAACAAACAACTTACCAAGCAAAAAAAATTCCAATATAATTATGAGGATAATAAGAATGCTCACCAATCTTCTCACCAGCTTCAGAAGCTCGTTCTTTCTCAAGAACACTTCCTTCGATAGAACTCTGAGCTCTAGTCACAAAACAAAGACCGCGACACTTTTGATCTTGGATAATAGGATTGTAAGATTTTGAAGGTGCATTTGTTGATACAGCACTGAAACTTGTACGATTCAACTGCAAACCAAAAAATTCAGAGGTATTAAAATCACTGGAAATCATAAACAACGTCATGGAAACTTATCATTCAACATTCAGCAACTATCACTAATGATATAATACTCTATATATGTGAAACTACTGTAAATCTTTAATTTCAGCATGCATTGAACTCCATTAAATCTACACAAACAATCCAAAGATATTAAAGGTATGCAGCGTTTCCGAATTGCATTTGAACCAATTCGATGTCATCTAAATTCCTAACATGAAAATTTTTACTGGAGGGAGGAAGGAGTCCCCTCCGGCGGCATCATGATACCATCGGCCGCTGAAATTCGCGCGAAACGGAGATTTCTAATTTTCAACCGATAATCGAATCAAGATCAATTGGAAATCGATGAATTGTTGATTCACAGCAGAAGAAATGGAAGAAAATGCAAAACGCTCCTAGATCCATGGGCATCTCAGCTCTTAGATAAATTCTCTGTTCAATTTAGATAAATTACTGTGCGATTTTCGTCTCCTCATCGGAGAAATCGAGTTTACAACGATAAGCAAAAGATGAACAAGAAATTAGAAGAGGACAGTGAGAAATGGAGGAACAAGTTCACCTTGAGTTGCAGGGGAATGGCGGCGGAGGGACTGAGAAGAGACGCCATGGCTTCGCTGTTTTTCTCTCTTTTTTTCTTTTTTTTTTTTTTCCTTTTTATTTCATGAGCAGTTGCGGGGCGACTGCAACCATTCGTTAATTGTTGGCTGAGAATTTTTTCCGCTGGTGAACGGCTACCTCTGTCCGGTGTCCACAGCCACTACTTGAGCTTCGGACTAGTTTGTACAATACTATTAGGAAAAAAAAAAAAAAGTCAAATGTGTGAATAAATCAAGATTTTTTTTGATTAAATCCTCATTTTGATCCTTTTATTTTGGTAAAAAAATCTCATTGTAATCCTTTTACAAAACTTTTTTGGTCCTTCTTTTTAAAAAAAAACTTTTTTTTTTATTTTTAAAATTTAAAATTCAATCTCTTTTTAATCTTTTCATTAAATTTTATATATATGATACATCAAATAACAAAAATTTTAAAGTATTGGGGTAAAAAAAAAATTAAAAAGCAGTTAAAAATAATCTCAATTTAATCCCTCTATTTTGAAAAAAAATCTTTTTTTTTGTTCCTCTTTTGTAATTTTTGTCATCTAATATCAAAACTTAACAAAAAAAATTAAAAAAGTGTCATATTTCAAACTTTAAGGATAAAAAAAAGCTTTTTTAAATAAAAAGATTAAAAATGAATTTTTTGTTAAAGTAAATGGAC